AGGAGAGGCTCCTAGCACCACCACTGCGCTTGCCAGCCGTGAGCCTGGCTCAGGGCTTCTGGCTGAGCGGTGCTTCCCCTGTGGGAGTGCACTGACCATCAGGGGGAAGCTCCTGCATTGAGCGTCTGCCCCCTGGTGGTCAGTGTGCATCATAGCGATCCGTTGTTCTGCTGTTCGGTCGATTTGTATATTAGCCTTTTATATAGGATATATTAGAACGGATGGTATAAGAATGATATTTGTTGGAACTTTTATTTTCTCTTGGTTTAGGTTCAGAGCACTGGTGAAGGAGAAGCACAGAGATATTTTGACCATGCACTTACTCTGAGAAACACGATACTATTTCTTCGTCACAATAAAGATCTAGTTGCACAAACAGCACAGCCAGACCAGCCCAATTACGGTATGAGTTTTATACTTGATTTTGAAGACATGATCCTATGGAAGTTCTGTCTAAGAAATTAAATAGGTCATGCCCAGTTATTCAATCATCATTTACTTAATACATTTTTGTAAGTATAATGAACTTATAGCTAGAGGCTTGTCATATGAATTTCTTTGCTTGTCAACTGTTTCTTATTCTATTTCTTCTCTCTTATGTGCAGCTGACATTTGTAGTATTTAAATCTGATGAGTACCTACAAACAGGGTTGGAGTGTCAATTTGTTTAAGTAGCTGAGTGGAATTTGGAACAGGCATGGGTTCTGAGGGGTGGACAGATGCAAAATTGAGTTAAATATATTATGAAGCATAAAATTTCAAGAATGAAAGATTCCATTGCATTAAAAACAATAAATAGGAGTTTCTTATTCAAATGCTGCTGGAATGTTTATTTCCTAAAGTACTTTACTTTAAAAAATAGACTGGGAACAGAACCCCTTTTTAAAGAGAAAGAGAAAGTGGTGGCAATTTTAATGTATTGGCGAACTGCCGGTGGCTGTTGTCTTAGGGTGCACGCTCAGTTTTGTGATAGGCAGGGAGTGTTCCCCACCAGAGTTGAACTGATGGTATCAGGATTTCAGATTCTGATTCAGTAGGTTCTGCGTTGTGGAATGGCACCCAGGAAGGTGTGTTTTTAAAAGGTGGAATGGCTTGAGCACCAATGTAAGAGCATTTGGCTCAAGTCCTTGGACATTCACAGGAGTTGCATCTTAGGACTTCGTGAATTCTTAGCACCACTGGAACATTTAATTTCACTCATTTTTTCAAATCCATAACCTATTTTTAAAATCTTTTATGACATTCCTATATTTTGAGAAAATAGTCCCTTTTTTTTTCTTTAAAGATAGAATATTAAAAGTTCCAAATGTCCTAAGGGACCACTAAGAAGACACTTTTAAGATTTAAAGCTAATAGTCTTTACTCCTGGTTCAAAGATAACTGTCTACTGGTGTTTTTTCAGGCCACCTTTTACTTTTTAAAAAGTGCCTGCTTTGCCATCCTTCCTCTCCATCCCCAGCCACCCCGGGCAATGACACGATGAAAGCCCGAGTACCACAGGAAAGCTGTGTCTTTCCCTCCCCCAATTCCCGATCTCTACAAACAGCATCTCAGCCGAGTTCTGAATTTAGTTTAGGAACAGGAGTTCTGCACTTAGATATGTGTGCCTAGACCGCTGGTTCATAAAGGTAGGTAATCAGTATTTTGTCTTGGACATTTTTGTTTCATATTGTCAGTCTTTCATTCTCTGTGTGCTTGGTCACAATTCAGGTTTTCCTCTGGATCTCTTACGCTGTGAAAGCCTTCTTGGTTTGGACCCTGCAACTTGCAGCAGAGTTCTAAACAAAAATTATACACTACTTGTTTCCATGGCTCCTCTCACCAATGAAATTCGGCCTATCAGCAGCTGCACCCCTCAGGTAAAGACCCACTTGGCAGCAGGCCGGTGCTGTCACTTCATTCGTACTCGTGGTGACTTGAAGAAGAGGTTTAACAGTCTTACAGGGTTAGTTCTCAGTTTGCAGATACCAGATTCAAATTGCTGACTCAGAAAGCAGTTTTGTATTTTATGCTGTTGTAAGATGTTATGTTCAATTTGTGAGGTATAATCGGTACATTTCATTTATGTATCATCTGGTGACTTGCAACACAGCAGATTAATGTTTTCTTCTTGAATGCAGTCTTTTAAAGAGAATATTTTTGGAGGCTGTGAGAGGGGAGTCTGTATTGCCTTGAGGAATAAGATAAATTTAAATAGGAAAAATGAAATGCTTTAGAAATGGGGTTATGATTCTGACTAAATGGAAAAGAAACAATTGTACTGGAAAGGAAGTAGAACTTTGGTTATCTTTAAAATTTACTTGTGACTTCCAGCTTTTACTTTTAAAAAATAAATCAGTTCTGTGGATTTGTATACTTAGCAAGGGCATTGTGGTCTGTACCATTTTCAAAGTGTGGGCATTGTGTTACTCTTTTTCAGTGTTACATCCTGCCTGGTTTCCTAGCTGTGCGAGGTTTGATGGTGTAGAAGAAAGGAAGGGATTCTTTTACAGGGTGATTTTGTTGCCTGTGCTGATCTAGCTGCCCAGTGAGCACACCCTCCCCCCACATATGTCCTCTATTCAACTGGAGTGGTTATAGGTTTGCATTCACCAACCTTTTTTATAATTCTTTGTGTGCTACCTCCAGTACCACTCCACTCCACACTCCCTCCTATTCTGTAATGCAACCTCTAGACATAATAGTTCATGAACTGTAAATGAATGGGAGGACAGTCCCTTTTGGGAGAAATTGCATGTGATTAATAATCATAATGACAAACATTTTTATGTAAAGCTTACTGTATACCAGGTACTATTTTCAACTTTTTAAACAACCCTCCAATGTCCCTATGAGGTAGATGTTTTATTGCTACCTTACAAAAGAGCAAAATGAGGGAATAGAGAGCGTTAAGTAATGTTAGAGGTGATATGGCTGAGGGGATGAAGCCCAGATTCAGACCTTGGTGGTCCTTCAAAGTCCATCCTTTAACTGCAGTGATGAGATGTGCTTTCTCAGTTCCAGCACAAAAGAGAAACTATTTGAACAGAGAATTTAAAAGTTATTTTCATAAGGATAATAGCAATTAACATTTATATGAGGAATTAGCTTTTAATATGAGTATACTTGGTTACTTAGGAAATTTGGCTTTTTTGGCTAAGTATTACAGCTTTACCCTACCTGCTTTTTTGTTACAGCATATTGGACCAGCTATCCCGGAAGTCAGTTCTGTCTGGTTTAAACTGTACATTTACCATGTCACTGGGCAGGGACCACCATCTCTTTTGCTGTCCAAAGGTACAAGACTTCGAAAACTGCCAGATATTTTCCAGGTATGTCGTGTGAGATTTGTTTGTTTTAATTGTGTTGGGGGAAGATATTAATAATGTCTTAATATCTCTATTATATAGTTATATATTAGAATAGTTATATATTAGGAATTAGTAAGTGGCATTATAGATTAGTTTCTTAATTTTTTGTCCATATTTCTAAGCGCCATTTTATCTTATTCATTTATTTCCCATAGGGTTATGATCGATTACTAATAACATCTTGGGGTCATGATCCTGGGGTAGTTCCTACATCAAATGTGCTCACAATGTTGAATGATGCTTTAACACATTCGGCGGTTTTGATTCAGGTACAGTTACTTTATTTGAATCAATCCATTTTGGATTTTTCTTTTAAAGATTGTAATTTGTCTATCTTTCTGCTGAATTGCAATCCGATGTCAGTAATTTGAAATTTGTGAAGCTGAAACATAAGGAATCAGATCTAGGTTTCAGTCCTGGCCTTTGGCCAGCAGTGCAACATGGACTTTGAAGTTAGACTCAGCTTTGAATTCTAGCTTTACCTTTTGTTACCCTTGTGGCTGTATTTTTTTCTTTTAGGAATAGCTTTATGAAGATATAATTCATATAGCATACAATTCAACAATTTAAATTGTACAGTTCATTGTTTTTTTTCAGTATACATTAGTTCTCCTTTTGCGTGGTTCCACTTTCTGTGGCTTCAATTACCCGGGGTCTGCCATGGTCTGAAAATATTAAATGGGAAATTCCAGAAATAAAATAATTCATAGATTTAAATTGCATGCCATTCTGAGCAGTGTGATGAAATCTCGAGTGGTCCTGCTCCATCCCTCATGGGGAGTGCATCATCCCTTTGTCCAGCATATCTACACTTGTGTATGTTCCCTGCCTACAGCCACTTAGTAGCTGACTTGGTTATCAGAGAGAGGGGGGAGAGAGAGAACATTCACGTAACTTTTATTACAATATATTGTTGTAATCTATTTTATTACTAGTTATTATTGTTAGTCTCTTACTGGGCCTAATTTATAAATTAAACTCTATCGTAGGTATGTATGTATAAATAGGAAAAAAACCATAATCTATGTAGAGTTCAATACCATCCTTGATTTCAGGTATCCACTAGTGGTCTTGGAATGTATCCCCCATGGATAAGGCAGACTACTGTAGCCACACATATCTGCAGCCATCACCATACTCCATTTTATTTTATTAATAATTTTTATTGATTTTTAGAGAGAGAGGAAGGGAGAGGGAGAGAAAAACATTGATCAGCTGCCCCTGCACACCCCCTACTGGGGATCAAGCCCGAAACCCTGGCATGTGCCCTGACCAGAAATTGAATGGGCGACCTCTCTGTTCATGGGACAACACTCAACTCACTGAGCCACACCAGCCAAGGCCACCATATTCAGTTTTAGAACATTTAAATCGTCTCAAAAACCTGCACCTTTAGTTCTCACTCCCCTATTCTCCCAGCCCCCACACCCTAAACACTACTAATCTACTTCCTCTCTCTAGAGCAGTGGTTTTCAACCTTCCTAATGCCGCGACCCTTTAATACAGTTCCTCATGTTGTGGTGACCCCCAACCATAAAATTATTTTTGTTCCTACTTCATAACTGTAATTTTGCTACTGTTATGAAGTGTAATGTCAATATCTGATCCTTGACTGGAATCGAACCCGGGACCCTTCAGTCGGCAGGCCGACACTCTATCAACTGAGCCAAACCAGCAGGGCCATAACTGTAATTTTGCTACTGTAAACAATATGTAATTATATATGTGTTTTCCGATGGTCTTAGGCGACCCCTGTGAAAGGGTCGTTTGACCCCCAAAGGGGTCGCGACCCACAGGTTGAGAATGGCTGCTCTAGAGCCTATTCCTGGCATTTCATATACATGAAATTATATAATGTGTGGTCTTTAGGGACCAACACTTGATCTCCTTCAGTCTCCTCTTGGCTGACACCTGAGTTACCTGTTATATTAGCCTCCTTTTTAAAATTTAGCCCATGCACTCAATTTGAGACACATTACCTTATAGATTCATATATACTTTAGATTAGGGGTCCTCAAACTACGGCCACAGGCAAATACAAATATTGTATTTGTTCCCGTTTTGTTTTTTTACTTCAAAATAAGATATGTGCAGTGTGCATAGGAATTTGTTCTTAGTTTTTTTTAAACTATAGTCCGGCCCTCCAACAGTCTGAGGGACAGTGAACTCGCCCCCTGTTTAAAAAGTTTGAGGACCCCTGCTTTAGATTGTCTTTGCTTGCTGGAGAAAAATAGAAAATTGTTTAAAACACTTTGATGGAGTATTAACATGGAATATACCACCACGTGGCACAGTCTTATTTGGTGCTTTAATATCTATTGTTGGAAATGTCGTTTTCTCATACACCTTTCAACTTGTGTGTCTTCATGTTTAGGGACATGGCTTCCATGGGACAGGAGAAACTGTCCACATACCATTTCCATTTGATGAGACAGAACTACAAGGAGGTACCTCACTTCTCATTTGTATCTATTTCATTTCTTTATCACTAATCTCTGTCACCAATTTGGTGGAAAACATAGCAGGAAGTGAATGCTTAAACTTTTGAAGTTCTAAGGTCTTACCATTTTGTTTTTAAAGAGTATAGGCAAAAGGTAGTTTTCTGTCATATGCCTTTTCCCACAAAGAATCGATAGTGTAAGACCAACTTGGGACCTTTGGAGGAATACGAGTCTGTCTTGGAGACGAAGAGAATACATAGGCGTCTGCCCAGGTGGAAGACTAGGTTTTCTGTATGTTTAGTCTTTCAGTTTCTTTTTATTGCTTATTATTTGAAGCAAGTCATAGGGAAGATTTTATGCTTAGAAAGATGTTTAGAAAGTTGGTCACCCCCAATGTTACACACTGGTTTTCTTTTAGGGGCTTTTTTAGTTATTGTAGAAATGGGTCCTAATAAACGTTTGTCACCTACTTCACAGTTTATAGAGCACTTGCATGTATTTCTTGTCTCAGCATTTTTATTATAATAAAATTTTTTTGCTTTTAAATTTTATTTTTGCTGATGAGAGGATTTGAGTGGATTGCAGTTTGAGCTAAATTAGCTGGTTAGCACCAAGGGGAAAGCCCTGGTTAATGTTGGCTCCTGGATTTGGCTGTGCAGTTTCATATTTGATAAAGATGCAGAAAAGTTCTGTAACAGCCAGTTCATTCTTCCTTTTGTCTAATAGAGAAGATATCTTTTTTCTGTTGAATATTAAGAAAATATGTACATTCAGAAGAAAAATACTATCTGATTAAAACTTTGCATATATTTACATAGCACTTAAGTTTCCTGCTCCGTGTAAAACTGCTGTTCTGTAATCTATTTTTCTGATTTTTAGAGTCGTATTGCTTGGAATTCAAGAGAGCAGTGAATGGTTCAAGTAATTTAACCTAAGTTATCCCCTATAAGAACTTACTGTTCTTTCAAAATGTTGCTCACCACTGCCCCTGCCCCCTAAAGCGAGGAAAGGCAGAGGATTTTTATAGATATCGTCTCCTTTTCGCATGGCCAGACTTGGGGAGCCTCATGTTTGAAATGAAGTGCTCTGTTTTGGCTGTTGTAAGTGTGTACAAAATGTGGGGAAGAGAGGACTCAAAATAGCCATTTTTTCAGAAATAAGTACTTGTCTGCAACTAAACTGTCCTACTTAAGCCTCTGGTACTTTATAAATTCTGTGGGGGAAAATGTTCACCTGAGGATACAGGGTAGTGACCACAGGACATTAAAATGTAGGAAATCTCAAGAACTAATTGGTAGTTCTCTTGCCTTGGGAGATTATTGTGAATTATAAAAAAGAAATCTCCATATTTGGATATAGAACATCTTTCTCTTTTGTAAGTTCACAGGTAAGAACTTGAGTTAAAACTTAAATAATTCATTAGGACATAATTTCAAGTATATTAGCTTTAATTTCAAAAATATGTATATTTAATAAATTTCCTGGTAGAAGCCCACCAAGTATTTGAGGCAGAATAGAAGCACAAATAGATGCCTAGAGAATTTACCACTGACTATTTGCTTCTGTTATACCAAATACCTCCTGAAGGCTATAAACATGTTATATGTATATAATATCCTTTTATGTTCACAGATATTTCTTCATTGGAATCAATCTTGATAGATTAAAGTATAAAAGTAATTCTAAGAATTGTTTAATAAAAATATTTTTAAGTTTTTCATGCTGTACTATTTTATAAAACTATTCACTTATAATTTGATGTCAACTCTTTGTTCTTAGAGTTTACTCGTGTCAATATGGGTGTTCATAAAGCATTGGAAATATTAAGGACTAAGGTGGACTTGCAGCATTTTTGTGGCTATATCACCATGTTGAATGCTTCGAGCCAACTTGCAAGCAGAAAACTCAGTGATGCTTCTGATGAGAGAGGTTAGCCAATAATTGGGTTTTGAATTAAAGATGATTTGGTATTGAGTTAATTACAACCTAATTATTTAAAAAGCACGGCGACTTTTGTAGGGATGTTGAATTATTTTTTTTAATATATTTTTTATTGATTAATTATTTAACTCTTAATGCTTTTTCACTGACGTATGAGGAAAACTCTGTGACATCATTTGGACAAGTATCAGTTGTTTAAATGGAGGAAATATTAAGTGCGTAACTACAGAAGTGATGACCTGGGTGGGGTTGAGATACAGAAAGCTTATCAGGTTTTAGCCCTTTACTGTAATATCTATGTTTATAGGCTTTAAATTGACTTCCTTTATGGGGTGATGGTTTCAAAGTTTAGTCTCTTTGTAACGATGTCTCCAGTTCTTCCCTTTTGACCTTTCTCTTTCTGTGAAGGCACTGTTGTCTCAGTTTCCCAGGCCATCATCCTTCTCCTTTTCTGCACTGTCCAGCTGTTTCCAAGTTCTGTGAATTAATGGTTGGAAAAGTCTCTCATATCCGTTTCTTCCCTTCTCTTTTTATTCTCTGTAACTGCCGCTCTAGTCTGAGTCCTGGTCCTTGAAGCAGTCATTGTCTGCTTAGCTTTCCCGGCCTCATTCTCTTTCTGTCTGTCTCCAGTCTATCCTGCATACTGATGATGGCTAGTTTTCCTTCGATTTCTTTTTCTTTCTTTCTTCTTCTTCTTTTTTTAATCCTCACCCAAGGATATTTTTCTTCTGATTTGTAGAGAGAGTGGAAGAGAGAAGGAAAAACAGAGAGAAACATCGATGTGAGAGACTACATCGATGGGTTGCCTCCTGCTTGAGCCCTCCTGCCTGGGCTCGGTCCGGGGAGGAGCCTGCAACCGAGATACATGCCCTAGACCAGAATCGAACCCCGGACCCTTTGGACCGCAGGCCGACACTGTAGCCACTGAGCCAAACCCGCTAGGGCCTCTTTTCCTTTTTAATTTAAAATTTTATTTTCCAATTACCTTTTCATGCTTATTAATTGTTTCTCCTCTGTCCTAATTCTGGCTTGTAATGTGGCTGTGGTTGCCATGGTGCCAGCTCTGGTCTGTGACTCCAGGAAACATTTCAGTTCAATTGTCTATCGTCAATTGACTACTCCTTGAGCCTCTTACGTTGAAATCCTGAGAAAATAATTATTGCTAGCCATCCAGTGTCTTGGATTGGCTCCCTTTGAGTTAGGTATCTATTTGTGGTCCATTTACCTTTGGCCAGAGGATTTGGGTAACTTTTGATTTTTGACATAGCAGGTTTTTTATATTTATTATTGCTGTGTAATAGGCAGTTTTCAACAGTTAACTGCCAAGTATCACAGGAGCATTTTCCAGAGAAGAAGGCTATGGAGTTAAGCAGTCGTTTCAGAGCATGTCTGCTACTGCTGCCGTGTTTGATTTCATTCATTCCACAAACATTTACAGACTGTCTGCTTAGATGCTGCAGACATTTAAATTTCTAAGACCTGAGGAATTATACCCTAGAAAGGGAGACAAGCAAGTGAACCAGGCTGCTGTGCTGTGTTAAGACACTGGGATAGGGCTCTGCCTTAGCTTGCAGTGCTGAAATAGGACGGCTGAGCTATCAGAGAAGGCCTCTTATGGAAAGGAAAGCTTGGACTGAATTTTTAATAATGAGGAATTATCTGCACAAAAGATAATTGTTATTTATGTGGAAGGTAGCAGCCTTTCAGGCAGGGAATCAGGGAATAGAGTAGCTTGTGGCAGCCAAAAGAAAGGATCTATTCGGCAGAAGTAGATGAAAGTAGAGAACTAGGTGCAGTAGAGAAGTAGGTGAGCTCTAAGGAGCGTCTTCTGTGCTGAAAGATAAGGAAGTCAAAAAGACTTTTGAAGAGGAATGATGTAATCAGACTGCTTATTTCCATGGGGTAGAAATGACTTTAGTAGTGAGCTTACTGATAGTCTAAACTTCTCTTCTGCCATTTGAATCCTTGTTTTTACAACCTTAGCACTATTTACGTTCTGAGCTTTGTTGTGGGGCTGCTCTGTGCACTGTAGTATGGCCAGCACCCTTAAATATCAGTGCCATCCCTGTTCCCATTCATGACAACAAAACCTGTCTTCAAACATTGCCTAGTGTCCCTTGGGGGACAAAATTATCCCCCAGTTGAGAACTACTGTTTTAAGGTTAAGGACTATTCATTGTTTTCCATTGCCATTTCTGTTGCCTGAATCCACTTTTATGTTAGAACTGATTTATTGACAACTTATACCAACTATTAGAATCTTAATATTTGTGTTTGTCCTTAAATTACAAGGTGAACCTGATTTGGCTTCTGGCTCAGATGTAAATGGAAGTACAGAGTCGTTTGAAATGGTTATTGAGGAGGCAACTACAGATTTAGCAACTAAGCAAAACTCTGGTAAGGTTTTAAAAATTATTTGCAGTCTTTTAAAAAAATATATTTTTATTGATTTCAGAGAGGAAGGGCGGGGGAAAGTGATAGAAACATCAATGATGAGAGAGAATCATTGATCAGCTGCCTCCTGCCTGCCCCCTATTGGGGATTGAGCCTGAAACTCGGATATGTGCCCTTAACTGAAATCAAACCTGGGACCCTCCAGTCCACACTCTATCCACTGAGCCATACCAGCCAGGGCTTACCTTTTTTGTTAAGTCATCTGGATGTCATTTGTCCATAAAGGACCTTGTAATAAGAATTTTTTAGCAAACATTTTTGTATATTTAGAATAGTCAAATAATATTAAAATATTATTAAAATACTAGAGGCCCATAGCATGAAGAGATTCGTGCAATAGGCCTTCCCTTCTCCTGGCTGCGGGCACCAGTTTTCCTCCGGCACCCAGGACCCAGGCCTTTGTTCTGGCCGGAGCCTTCAGTCTTCGCTCCGCTGCTTCACCTCTATATATTCAAATTAACTGCCATCTTTGTTGGGTTAATTTGCATACTCTCCTGATTGGCTGGTGAGTGTAGCCGAGGGACAGTTAATTTACATATTTGTCTATTAGGTAAGATGACCTGCGAATAGTGACTTAAGTTTCGTATTTCCTTTGTTAAATATTTCAGTTAATTCTCTCATCTTATAGATATCTTGCAATTGGGTAAAAGACCACTTTGAACTCATGAAAACTAGTACCTTCTCCTCAGAAGCATGTACATACATCCTCAAAAAACATTCTTTTCTATTTCAGAGATTCACTGACACTCCTTCCCTCTCCCCCTAGTTCTCTCTCCTGCTCAGCCAGTTGGTGTGTGAGAGGAATCTATGAAAATCCATGGACCTCAATTAAGAAACCCTGGTCAGTTATAATATATAAAGTTATGCATGACTAATAAGTTTACATGTTCTTTTATAGTTGCCACAACAGAAGCAGATTGGGTTCCTCTCGAGCTATGCTTTGGAATTCCACTGTTTAGTTCTGAATTAAACCGGAAAGTTTGTAGAAAAATTGCTACCCATGGCCTTTGCAGGAAAGAGAGGTAAGGGTTTATCTTCATTGCCATCTTTTCATCTATGAGATTTTTAAGTCAGTAATATTTGCTATATCTTTCTTGTATTTTATACATGAGCATAGCAATTACCTGTGTATATTTGTTTATTGAATAAAGTTTGCTAGTTTAAGGGTTTTGATATATTTTCAAAATTAAACTTTTATACCTCAGAAATTAGGCACATACAAACATTTTAGGTACATGTTTTGGTTAATTATAATTATATTTATGTAGTTACCCAGATTTGGTGAGGGTGTGGTAAACAGAGAATGCTCATGAGAGTATGAGCCTGGTTTTTTAAAATATGTAAATGTCTGTAGAGAATTTTTCTTGTGGATTTCTCTTATTCCACAAACACTCAAGTTATGTTATCTTAATAGTGATTATGTCTTGTGGTGGAATTATGGCTGACTTTCAAAGTTGTCTTCAGTTTCCACATTTCCTAAAATGAGCATTTATTACTTATCAGAGATGACATGTAGGTTTTCCCTTATGACAACTCTGATCCACTGGTCGTAGCTGCTAAGAGGTAGTATTGTAAAGACTCTGAGACTGACTGAGTTAGTTAGAAAAGAGCATCATTGAATCTGATGGTCATAGTGGAAAACTTGGAAAGGTGATATCTACCGATCTGTTTTACTTATTTAGGAAAACAGAGTTGGATAATAAGTCATTCATTTAACTGGCTTAATGTAGCTTATATCAGAAGATTAAAAGTGCTCAGTTGACAAGTAATTTTATTTATTTATTTATTTTGGTCAATCCTCACCTGAGGATATTTTTCTACTGATTTTTAGAGAGAATGGAAGGGAGGGGGAAAGACAGAGAGAAACACCGATGTAAAAGTGACACATCGACTGGTTGTGTCCTGCACATGCTCTGACCAGGGGAGGTATGTGCCCTTGACCAGATTCGAACCTGGAACTCTTTGGTCCAGGGCTGATGCTCTATCCACTGAGTCAAACTGGCTAGGGCGACATGTAATTTTTAATGACTGTCCTCTGAAAATAAAATAAGACATGAATAAAATAGAAATGCTATAGCTTTAAAGATTGTCACTATAATTGTTACCTATTTATATATTTGAAAAATATTTAATTTGGTGGGTTGATGTATGTTAAATATGTCAGACTTCATCCCTCTAAGTGCATAAATTTTTACTTAAAAAGGTTATTTAGTAAACATTTATATTTGCTAAACCTTATAACAATAAATTTTAATTTTGGTAATTTATGATGTTTTATGTCAAAATGGTCTTTTTATGTACTGTTACTCCCTATTATTAAAAGAGGCAACAATTTCATTGATGAGAACCATTGAAATTGGTTTTTAAAAAATTTTAATGTGGTTAATCAGGATTTATATGCTGATATAAATGTTTTGAAATTAGTAAAATTAAACTGTTGAAATTAGCAAAATTAAACTCTTGTCATTATATTTCAACTAAACTTTCCCCCCTTTCTTTCAGCCTTCAAAACCTCTTACATTCCAGTAGAAAGCTTTCTCTACGAGTCCTTAACTTTGTTCACTCATTCCAGGTAATAAACCAGAAGATCCAAATGTTATTGGTGTAGAGCTTTAAATACAAAACACTTCCATGTTTGCTTTGAATCTCCACTGCAGTAGACATGGAATAAGCATTAATTTAAATTTATACCCGAAGACACCGAGATTCAGGAAGTAAACTGACTTGCACCGAGCTCATGAGCCAGGTCTTCTGTCTCTAAAGCCTGAACTCTGTTCTGTGCCAGTGCTTCATGCAGGAGTGTGTTCAGCGTCTGTTACAGGCCGTGCATCACACAAGGTGCTGGCTCTTGAGTCTGGTGCTCCATTAATAACTGCAGGGAGCTCCATTGTCTGTGTGGTAGTGAAAGCCAGTGCTCTAGACCTTTTGTGTCCTGTGTCCCCATCTACTCCCCACCCCCCAACACACAGAGGAAAGAATACCCTAGATTTGATTTGTACATAAACTAGAATGGAATATTTCTGTTCAGAATATCTGATCTAATAATTTGAAATTAATATTTTAGAGTTTTGTTTCATTCATTCTTTCAATAAATACTTGCGTTTACTCCATCCAGACCCTTTACCAAGTGCTGGGGAAACAATGATCTCTAAGACACTAGAGGAGCCTAGAGGGTTGTACGAGACACTAGTCAAGTAAACGTCGATTTCAGTAGGTACTTTGAAGGAGTTAGGCTCCTTCAAATATGATGGATTCCAAAGCTAGACCTACTTTAAATAGGTAGAGATGCTATATAATCTGAAACCTAAAGGATGGAAAAGAGTATTCCAGGCAGAGCTTAGCAGGCACAATGGTCCTGTGTCAAGAAAACAGAAGGCCAGTGTTGCAGAAGCCTCGTGAAAGAGGGGCAGTGGCAAGAGGGGTGGGAGGGCCTTCTAGAATGTATTAAAGCATTTGTGGTTTATGCTGAGTGCATTCAAGACTTAAACAGAGAATGACATTATTTCTTTAAAGATTAGTTACTGTTTAGAGAATAAATTAAAAATGGGCAAGCATAGAGGTAAGATTAGTTTGGAGACTACTGTAATAGCCCAAGTGAGAGATTTCAGTAGCAGCCTTTCTCATTTAAAAAAACCCCACAAAAACACAATTTTGTAGGTATCCACAATATAGGTTTGTTTATTACACATATATACTGTTACACCAATTAATTACATATATTATAAAATATACACAAAAATAGACATTCTTAAAGGATGCAATAAGTAGATATAAGATTTTAAAATTTTCGTAGTACCATACCCCACTTTGGAGTGAGTACCCCACTTTGGAGGCCACTGGCCTAAACTGGCAGGGGCTGTGGTGAGTTAGGTAAATTATTTTGGGATCCATGTTGGAGGTTGATTGACAGAACCTGGTGATTAGTTAAATGAGAGGAAATATTGAGGGTGTGATAGGAAGGGAGGAATCCGAGAGATTCTCGTATTTCTGAGTAGCTTGATGTGGGGGGTAGGGGACACGGTCAGTGTGGCACGTGTGGTGCAGCATCTGAGCGCGAATGTCAGGGGCATGTTTGAGCCCGGAGTTCTCAGGGGAGGTCTGTGCTGAATATGTGCCTGTGAGAGCCCTGGGAGTGGATGGGCTGTTCTGGTGCTAAATGCTGCGTGAGGGTTTTTAGAGATTGTCTGAGAACTAACCTCTTCTTCTACCATAGTCTCATAGCCTAGTATTTCTATTCATTTCAAAGCACTTAGCATAGTCTAACTTGTGGTAGTCATTTCTGCATATGTTAATACCTCTCATTGATTATTTTGGGTTTGTGAGGTAGGTCTTTGCATCTCCATTAGTACTTTCCATTCCATAAACATTTCTCCGGTAATCAAGGTCTGTTTTCCTCATTAGCTATACTAAGTGGTTTGGTAACATGTAGAATACAGAATTTTTCTCTTGTTTCTTGATCTTTTAGGAAGGTGCTTCAACACTGGATATCCACACAGAGGCCAGCTTTTCAAGTTTGCTCTCCCAGTCATCCCAAGCAGATCTGGGAGTCCCACTGCCCGCAAAGAACTTAATATTTAAAGATGGCATCTTATCAGAATGGAGTGGACGGTCACCTTCCTCACTGCGTATTGCTAGTCTCCATTTGCAATGATTTGGTTACACCATTTGTTGCTCACACTTTCTGCCTTTTTTCTTTCTTAAGGTTAGCTTTATAGTGCCAGCCACTAAAGAAGCATCCTGCCGCTGCCGTGCGATTCATGCTTACCTGATGTTTGAAGTTTGGGGGACACGTTCACGGTTTCTGAAGTTTTCCTCATCGTTGCACCTCCTAATGCAACCAAGAGCTTTTTAGCAGCCTGCGCTGTATTTTTTACCTTGAGACAATCTGCATTTCTTTTATAAAGCAGGATATACTTTATAGGCTTTATGATGACTGTTATGTTTATAAGCGGTCACTACGAATATTGCGGTGGTAATTTTATATGTTAGGTTATCAAACGTAAATCTTGTTTAGTTTTATATTTTGTTACCTACTCTGTAGGGGATCATGGGAAGAGGGGAACTCTTCCTCTGCGAAGGCTTCTTGGTACTTCAAGTAGCAAAACTATGAAACATACACACCCAGGACTGAGAAATGATGTGACGGGGCATTAAGAACTCCTGTGGCTGTCTGTAAATTATGTAGATCAGTTGGACATTGTTGAAGGTATGTCAGTCAGCATAGTTCTATGTAACTTACCCTTGATTTATAAGGTCTTAACTCCGACTCTGACTCTACATTAACATCTCATGAGAAGCTTTGGAAAGCATTCTATTTTTAAACAACATTTATATGTGGACTTCTGTTGTCACTCACTTTGGACTTTATATTTTCATAGAGTCTTTCTGGAAAAATAGAATTTATTTTCCGTTCTTGTAGCTGTGGCTGCTGCACATTTTCACTGTGACTTATTTTTTGTTTGTAGTTTTACCGATTAATTGTTATGAAATTGAATTTGATGTTCTCAAACCAAGGGTTATGATTTTAGGTTAGAATTATATAAGAGAAGCATTAAAGCTATGTCTTCTGATCAAAATACTTTAGTGAAAAGCCTACTTTGAAGACATAATGAGGTAGTTTGGATCTTAAATTTATGTGAATAGTTCGGGGAGGAAATGATAAAGGAAAATTGAGTATTTCAAAATGTTTCTTAAGTCATTGATTCTTTTAGTGTCTCAAATATTAGAATAATTGGAATCACTTTTTAGATTTTTCAGGTTACCTTGGGAAGTTTGTGCAGTGTTATAGTTTAGTTTAGCTCTTCTCCTAGGATAACGGTTTGCTAGTTTAAAACTGTAACCAAATGAACTGATCTAAGAACATATATCTAAAACACTTAAGGCATTAGAAAATTTGGGAATGCTAAAACCTAAACTTTCTTGCTGATAATTTTTGTTATTTGTAGAACTGATATTTGTGGATTTTAACATACTTCTGGAAATATATGCCTTTTTAAAACTGTTAACATAACCATGCATTCAGCCCCATGGCCTACCCACAGAATTGTATCTTTGGAGCAGGTTACCTGTGGCAAGTCAGTGCCGTGTTTAGGTAAATGCAGTTAACTTTTAGTTTTCTACTTTCTCTCTTATATGAGGTAGAAATCAGTGTATCTTATAAATGTTTGTCTATAAAAGGAAAAATACATACTATTAAAATAATTTCTTATGACTGTGAATCACTCATTCCCCCCAATAATTGATATTGGACATTCCTAGTGCTATTAGGTATGTATGTAACTTACAGGTTTTTCAACCAAAAGTTGAAAATATTTCATTTGATCAGGGCTCTCTAATCTCATTTGCTTTGTTTGAATTAACTGTAGTTATTTTATTTATTCCTGTATTATCAGTCTAAGTCTATTGTAGTGACATGTACACTAATAAAGAATCAGATATTTGTACTTGTTGGCAGTGAACCCAGTTGTTGGTGGATTTAAAACTTAAAATGTGGGAGTGATTTGCTGCTGCATTTCCTTTGAGAAATAATGGAAGAAGAAATAGAACCTAATCATGATCATAAATTTTAGGGGAAGTACTGAAAAAGCATGTGGCGTGCTCTGGTTTCTCCTGTGAATAAGGAAAGATTCTGGTTCCCAGCTGAAGACCTCATTTTTAAGGAGGGCAGTCTGCTTTTTTATTTTTATTTTAGTTTTTCATTAATCTTCACCCAATGATATTTTTTCCATTGATTTTTAGAGAAAGTGAAAGGGTATGAGGGAAGGAGAGAGAGAGAAACATCTATGTAAGACAGACACATCTATAGGTTGCCTTCTGCATGCATCCTGGCCAGGGCTAGGGATTGAACCTGCAATCCAGGTATGTACCCTTGACCTTGAATCAAACCAGCGACCCTTTGGTGCACAGCCTGGCACACTAACCACTAAGCACCACTAGCCTGGGCAGCCAGGCAGGCGGTCTGCATTTTAGAACTGTTAGCAAAATGTGCAGGCTGCTTTGTGCTTTGCTTTATGAATTTGGCTTTGTTTCATTTATATTTTAACTCATGTAAAGATGCATCTCTTAAATCTTATAAGTATTGATCCATTTCAACAAAAAGGTAAATGTAAAATACAGACTTTATTATTTGCCAAAGATGATTTGTGAAATAATTTTTTTGCAGATGTTTAAAGTAATTTCATTGGCTTTTGCTACCTCCCATTTCTTTCCCCCTGTAATGTAGCTTAAACCATGGCAAACATTCCTTGGAAACTAAGAGAAAAAAGATATCAGGAAGGACATGGAATTTTGTGTGACACAATTTCACCTCTCAAGTGGGTCTAAAGAGCCGAAACTTTGTTATTAAAAAAAGATGATCATCTGATTTCCTCCCTTTTAAGTATGTAATCAGATGATTTTGTCTGGTTTTTAAAAAATATTGGTTTCTTTTATTTGATGTATTTAGTTTCCTGTTATTTTTCTCTTTTATGTTCAGTGTTTCAAATACAGTTTGTATTTAAAGATTTTTAAAGTACCAAAATTGTAACTAAGTACAGTGGATTGTTTTCTGGTATGATATTAAATATGAAATGTATAAAGTGTTGTCAATTTGATTATTGACACATATACTATGTTTACAAATAAACTGGTGGTGATCAATTACTGAGAACGTGTGTATAATCTTCTGTAAGTCCCTTTCTTAATTTTAAGTACAACATGCTGTGGCTTTCTTATACATTGTTTTAAACAACCGTTTTATTTTATAAGAATTTCACATTTACTCTCTATCCCCTTCCCTCAGCTTCCCCTAATGTTAACATCTTATGTAAACTATAGCACATCTGTTAAAACTCAGATATTCGCATTGATACGCTGCTATTTACTCAACAGCAGACTTGATTTGGTTTTCACCTTTTTCCACTAATGTTCTTCAGTTCCAGGATCCAACCCAGGATACCACATTGCATTTATTTAGTCATTAATGGTTCTTTAGACTCCTCCTACCTGTGACAGTTTCTCAGTCTTTCGTGACCTTGACACTGAAGGGTACTGCTTGGTGGTTTGAAGGGTGTTTTGATATTTGAGGTGATGCTGTATTGGGAGGGACAGCACAGAGGTGATGTGCCTTCCACACTGTATCGTATCATGGGTATGTGGTGTCAGTGGGCAGCACTGGTGATGTTCCTTCTTTCGTTTAAGGTGGTATCTGCTAGGTTTTTCCACTTTCCTTACTTTCTTTGGAAGTGAATCATTAACTTGAGCCCACATTCAAGGGGAGGGGGCAGTAGATAATATTTACATTAGTATGTGATCCTGGCTACTTATTTTATACTTTAGTTTGAAATCCAATACTGTTATTATTTTGTGCAAATTGTTTCAGCTTTGGGTATTGGGAACATCTGTGATCTGCTCCCAAATTCTTTTGACGTGCCCTTATTATTTTTTTTTAAGACCATATTCTTACTTTGTGGCACCACAAGTATTATCTGGACGCCTGCCCAGGAATGAGTTATTTCTTCAAGGATCCCTGATTCCTTTTACTGGTGACGGTATTTAGAAACCAGGATCTGGGTGATGGGTGTGTTTGTTGCTACTGGTTGTATGCCTCTTCAGTGGAACAAGTTAAGAGATATAAATATGTATACTAACCAATATAGGTGCACATCTCTGTATTATTTCTAGATCTATCTCTGTGTATATTACATAAACATTAACTTAAATTGACTCCCATCAGCAGCACGGGTTCATTCTGGTTTTGCCCTTTGCTTATTTATAACCTTCCTTCCTCTGAGAGGGAGTAACCTGGCTCCTGTTATCTGCAATTTATTTATTTGTTCAGCCCTAGAATACTTACAAAGTGGTTTCAGAATAGTTAAGTTGTACCCTGTGAGAAACAAATTGACCAACTAGAGTATGGTGTTTAGGTGCTTTGTCTTTAGCCCTACAGTATCTACTGAAAGTACCATTTCCCAAATAACTTAGTTTCACTTCTTTTATTCCCACTCCTTTCATTGAGGGTATGGCATACATTTGTAAAACATTTGTCACACTGCATTCCACCTGGAATCTGACATGCCAATTGATTTTTTTCACACAATAAAATTCATTCCATTTGGGCTTTGACACATGCATAGTCCTGTGTCCATGGTCTCAGTGCTATTCAGAACAGCTCCATGACCCTAAAAACTCCCCTGTGCCCAGCTCCCCACCCCTGGCAACCACTATCTGTTTTGGTTCCTATAATTTTTCTTTTCTTCAGAATGTCATAAGTGGTAGAATTGAAGAATTTATAGCCTTTTGAATCTGGCCTCTTTTGCCTACCAAAATTCATTTTAAATTCATGTGTGAATCACTAGCTCATTCTTTTCCATTGCTGAGTACTTCATTGTATGGATGTGTTAAGATTTGGTTATCATTTAGCATTCACATATAAGCTTTTAATCTATAATAATAAGAGCTTAATATGCTAATTAGACCGGATGTCCTTCTGGACAAAGCCACGGCAGCGGGGGCTGAGGCAGAGGCGGCAGAGGCCCTGGACTGCGGCGCGGCAGCAGGGGCCGAGCCTCTTGCATGAATTTCATGCCTCGGGCCTCTAGTAGAAACATAATTTGTTTTGCTTGGGTAAATACCTAGGAGTGGGCTTACTGGGTCTTGGTAAGGGTATCCTATATAATAAAAGGGTAATATGCAAAGTGACCCTAATGGCAGAACAACTGCTCAACCAGTCACTATGAGGCACACTGACCACCTCTCGGTCCCTCCCTCCCTCCCCTCCCCCTCTCCCCCTCCACAGGCAGGCAGGCTCTGATCACCCGACGGCAAATGGGGAACCGGGGGTCGGTGGTGGGGAGCGCCAGCAGTGCCAGGCCAAGGCCCCTGCCCTGCAGGTCTCCCCCCACACACAGGCAACCCGCAGTGGGGTCGGGGCTGGAAAGTGGGCGAGAACGGGGACGATGGCCCTGATCTAGGGACCGTACCCCCGCACGAATTTTGTGCGCCGGGCCTGTGGTATTTTATAGGAAACTGCCAAACTGTCTTCCAAAATGACTGCCATTTTGCATGACCAGCAGCAGGGAATGCGCTCCTGTTGCAGTGACATCATGTGGCCGGTTTATTCGTTTCTGTACTGAGAAATGATGTGGACCATCTTTTTGTCTGCTCTTTTGCCATCCACATACCTTTTTGGGGGAAGTGTCTGTTCGGATTTGTTCCCCATATTGAAAAAATTGGGTTTTCTTGTTGAGTTTTAAGAGTTAATATAGGTTCTGAATATAAGTCCTTTATCAGATATGTGTTGTGCACATTTTCTTTCTCTCATTCTGGCTTGTCTTTTCATTCTCTTGATCATTTAAAATAAGAAATCCTCCCAGCCTCTTTATATTTTGTTTCTTTTTCTTTTTTAAACTTGGGGGACAAGGAATGCCACCCTCAAAAGAAGCCACCGTAGTGGTAGGTGTAGGGCATGAAGGTGCTGCAGTTTAAAAAGTGTGCATTCCTGTGGGCTTGCCCCGATCTGTCTCTTCCTTCCACGTCACTAGAGGGCCATCTTGCTCTTTCTTTCCCTGTTAGATGCTCTCTCTTCTTGCTCGGTCATTGGCTGCCCTGTGAAGACTGAGGCCCAGGCTGGAGAGCCGAGCCTCACCCTGTAGGAACTAACAGCAGGAGGTGCCAGATAACCACCTTTTTGCAGCTAGAAAGCAAGTCCATTCTTGAAGCAGGTTCTGAGGGCTGCGTCTCTGTGCTTGATACATTCACTAATCTCCTATATAATAAAAGCCTAATATGCAAATCGACTGACCGGCATAATGACCAGTCACTATGACACGCACTGACCAACAGGGGGCAGACGCTCAACACAGGGAGCGCCACTCAGCCAGAAGCTAGTCTCATGGTGGCGAGCACAGGAGCAGTGGTCAGAGCTTTGCCCACCTCCGTGGCAGTGCTAAGGAGCAGTGAGCGCACAGGGAGCGCCACTCAGCGAGAAGCTAGTCTCATGGTGATGAGCACAGGAGCAGTGGTCGGAGCCTTGCCCGCCTCCGTGGCAGTGCTAAGGAGCAGTGAGCAGGTGGGTGGTAAGGAGCAAGAGGGATGTCCGACTGCCGGCTTAGCACAGGGAGTGGGCCTAAGCTGGCAGGCGGACATCCCCTGAAGGGTCCCGGAGGGCTGAGGGACCCTCTTCCCCCCACCCCCACCCCTCAGTGCAAGAATGTCATGCACCAGGCCTCTAGTCCTATCTAATAAAGAGGGAATATGCTAATTGACCCTCACGCAGTCGCAGATGGTGGCACCCACAGCCAATGAGGGGATATGCTAATTGCCCCACCCTCAAAGATGTCGGCATCCACAGCCAATAAGGAGGGAATATGCTAATTGACTGCCCCGCCCTCAAAGATGGAGGCGCCCACAACCAATGAGAGAATATGCTAATTGACTGCCACGCCCTCAAAGATAGCAGCGCCCA